CCAGCACGGGTGTGATGAACAGCAGGCCCCTCTCACCAGCACGGGTGTGTTGAACAGCAGGCCCCTCTCACCAGCACGGGTGTGTTGAACAGCAGGCCCCTCTCACCAGCACGGGTGTGTTGAACAGCAGGCCCCTCTCACCAGCACGGGTGTGCTGAACAGTAGGCCCCTCTCACCAGCACGGGTCTGTTGAACAGCAGGCCCCTCTCACCAGCACGGGTGTGCTGAACAGTAGGCACCTCAACACGGGTGTGCTGAACAGCAGGCCTCTCTCACCAACACGGGTGTGCTGAACAGTAGGCCCCTCAACAGCAGGCCCCTCTCACCAGCACGGGTGTGCTGAACAGCAGGCCCCTCAACACGGGTGTGCTGAACAGCAGGCCTCTCTCACCAGCACCGGTGTGCTGAACAGCAGGCCCCTCTCACCAACACGGATGTGATGAACAGCAGGCCCCTCTCACCAGCACGGGTGTGCTGAACAGCAGGCCCCTCAACACGTGTGAGCTGAACAGCAGGCCTCTCTCACCAGCACGGGTGTGCTGAACAGCAGGCCCCTCTCACCAGCACGGGTGTGCTGAAAAGCAGGCCCCTCTCACCAGCACGGGTGTGTTGAACAGCAGGCCTCTCTCACCAGCAAGGGTGTGCTGAACAGCAGGCCCCTCAACACGGGTGTACTGAACAGCAGGCCTCTCTCACCAGCACGGGTGTGATGAACAGCAGGCCCCAAAACAGCAGGCCTCTCTCACCAGCACGGGTGTGATGAACAGCAGGCCTCTCTCACCAGCACGAGTGTGTTGAACAGCAAGCCCCTCTCAAGACAAAACAAGACAAAACTGGACAAAACAGGGCACACCAACCGGCCGAGGCTGCCATCATCGGCGCCATCTTTCAGTATTGTCATTGTAGTGCGTATTTAATGTGGCGCTGCACTCTGATGTTATAGGAGAAACATTTATTAAAAAGTCTAATTAAGTAGAACGTGTTGTCTATATTTATTTAAAGTTGCGCATTTTGATGTGACGTCACATTTCTCCCCCCCCCCCCTCGTCACACATCGCCACAAATGTCTGACCTCCCCGCCCCCCCCAAGTGCGTGACGTCATTTATGGACGGCCCCATCGTTGTAGAAGCAGACGGCATATGTATTTAAAAATTGCTGCATTACTCTCACATGAAAGCGGGACACTTATTTTTGGAACGGTTAGACGTACAAGTCTGTCACCTTTTTTTTTAGTTCGTGCTAATCATATTGTGGGTGGAGTGGCGCTGCAGAGATTAGCACGCTGCGTTATGAACCCGGGGGTGATCTCAGTTTCATTGCCAGTCACGGAAAACTTTTAGCGAGTGATGCCTTAACAGATCCAGGGCATCCCCCTCCTGCACTGACCATCTTGGTGAAGTAAAGTAGAGCAACCCCTATGACCAGCAGAGGTGGATATGGAACCTTCCAAAGGTGCGGGGATTGGTGGGGGAGGGGGGGGGCGACATGTCAAAATATTTTATAGGGCCCAAAATAGTAAAATAAAAATTAACTAACCCAAAAAAAACCTGTATTATGGATGATATGGGTAACGAAAGCCTACGTATTAAACTGTATTTTGTCTAATAAATGCACACTGTATTTCAAACTATTTTTTTTATTAAATTTCGATTTATTTTTAATTAGGCTTGTTTACGCAGGAAAGCGTAATTAGGCTTGTTTATGCAGGAAAGCTTTACTGAGTCTCTTAGGGCAGTAATTGTTATGTATACAGGACTGTATTCCAAATGATTTGCGGGTAATTTTACACACAAGTGGCCTGCCCCCGCGAATGACTTCACGGGACCCTGAGCGTCCAATGTTTAGGGTATCAAGAGGTTGGTGGTGGGAAAGGTTGGGAAGCAATTTCGACACCCCCTGGATCTACAACTGGACCGGCACCACCAATTAGTATAGAAGTCAATGCGTGGCGCATATATACAAACGAGTTCATAAAGCCCGTCTTCGGCAGGCAAACGTTTTCCGTGAATATAATAATAAAAAACCTGATATGATTTTTGTTACAATTTTACGATCAGACACTAACTACTCCAAAAATGCGTATTAGTTACGTAGAAGAAAAATAATAATAAAAATAAAGTGAATAAAAATACAAATGATCAAAATAAAAATCGAAAAAACATTCATGTAGACTGTAGCCTGGTTATTAAGTTTGGTGAGTGTACTGGCAGCCTATAGTGTAGACTGTAGTCATGGTTATTAAGCTGGGTGAGTGTACTGGCAGTCTATAATGTAGACTGTAGCCTGTTTTTAAGCTTGGTGAGCGTATTGGCATTCTGTAATGTCAACTTATTGTTGGTTCTTTCAGTCATTAAAAATACAAGAAAAATAAAAAATATAATAAAGATACAAATAAAAATGTTACCTTGATTCAACTTCTTATATTTAAAGACATACCCATCGGAAACCGCTTAATTAAAAAAAATCCGTTCTTTTTTTATTAGAACAGAAATTTCTTAACTTAATAGTCTGAGGGGAAACTATCTTTTACCGTTTTAGAATTATTCAGATTTGAACATCATAAAATGCATATTTTTTTCGTTGAAAACCCCTTGAATCCGAAATATCTTAAAAACTCAAAAAGATAGAACAATGGTTCTCGCTTTAATTTTAGTTGCTATTTAACGCTCTATCAGATGAAAAAACCCCTCAACCTTATATTCTGAACGGTTTCTGAATGACATGCACAAACATGTTTATGGGGCACTTAAAATCGAGATTTGGGGGCCTTAAAATAAAAAATCTCAGATTTTCAGGTGTCCTGTTGTTTGTGTGCGAAAAGCTGCATTTGAATCACATTTCAGCTTTCTACCTTGTCGGGAAGTACCCAGAGGTTCTTGACACATCCAGATTAAGGTATTCATTTATATACAGGGTGTGTAAAAAAGGACCCAATTTCAAAGCAGTATATTTCACGATGGCAACACGTTACAATTGCACAAAAAGTTACAAACGGTTTCATGAGTTATCACGTTTTACCAACCATTTTATAAATGCTCTATGTGCCCTCCACCTGCTGTACGGACAACATCGAGACGATAGTTGAATTCGTCCCAAACGCCTCTCAAAGTGTCTTCTTCCACTGAAGTCACCGCTGCCGTGATTCTGTTTTTGAGGTCATCCAGATTAGTCGCTAATGGTGGCACAAAAACACCACGGGTCTTTGACGTATCCCCACAAGAAAAAGTCGCTGGGTGTGGTGATGATGTCTGGGGGTGATCTTGGGGGCCAAGAGTGTAGCGCCAAGTCTTGCGGTCCCGTGCGACCTATCCAACGTTGAGGCAGTGTGTCATTTAGAAAACGAAGCGAGGGGATGTTTGTGCGCTGGGAGAGGCATCTAGCGGTAATAATTTGAAACTCTATTCCTCGCTCTTTTAAGTGGTAAAAGTTTCATTCATGGGCGGTTCGTGTTTGTAAAGATATAGCGATTTCAAATCGGGTCCATATTAAAAAAAAAACCCTGTAGATACCGGGACAGCGCTGCTTTTCAGTTGCGTGGTGGACACGGCTGAGAGGACGGCCTGCCGCCTCATTATTATTATTCATGATGACGAATACTAACAAGCATTTTGATTTAAAGCTTTCGTGACTGCAGGGATTCATATTCTTGGTTCTTTCGGTAAAGTCACGTTGTGTAAAATATATATAAAACAGCAAAATATATTTTATTATTTTATTGTTTCCCTTTAACGTGACTATACCGAAAGAACCAAGAATATGAATATTAACAAGCATGTTTATGCGTGACGGGCTTCTGATGAATATTAACGATTCGCCCAATTATGTAACATTGCACGCCGTTATATAACGGTGGCAGCATCCAAGACTCGAGGGAGCAACGTAAAAACGAAACGATGTGAAGAATCGTCACTAAACCATGATTAATACAAATTTTCTATGGGTCTTTCGGTAAAGTCACGTAGATAGAAGAAAAATAATAAAAATATCACATTTATTTAGACTTATTTTCATTTTTTCACCTGAAGACGATTGCTTGTGTTGCGATCGAAACGTCGTGATATATTTTTTATATCTACGTGGCTTTACCGAAAGACCCATAGAATATGTATTCCTGCAGTCACGAAAGTTTTAAGTCAAGAATGAATAACATTGTCATTCTTGGCCTGATGCCCTGTTTTTGATGTCACGCTCTTTTGTTGCCTCCTCGATGTGTGTCCGCTCCTCGCCCCCTTCTCCCGTGTGGCAACCGCCCTCCCGTATGGATGGGACATCGAATGCATAATAAAGGAGTTTTTTTGGGGAGGGTTAGATACCGTACATATGAATAATGTGTCGTTTAAACCCGCCACCACCCGACGAAGCCAATTCGTAAAGGTTGTCACGTGAAAACGTGCCAATTAGTAATCACCACTGCAGCACACCCGGGGTGTTGGAGAGTAAAACTCACATTTACAATTCGAGGACGACGTTTCGCTGGTGATGACAAAAAAAAGTACGGCATAACAGTCCCGTTGTCATGGGATGTGTTATGGGGAGCGGTGGTGTAGTGGTTCGGGCACTGCGCTACGAACCCGACCCCCCCCCCCGGGTTCAATTCCCGCTCAAGGCCAAACAGCAGTGCCGACTCGGTCCTGGGGCCTCCCCCAGGTCGACTCAGCCTCAAATGAGTACATGGACGCGGTGTGTAAGCATCGCCACTGGGGAGACATGGGCGTGGTGCTGGCCACCCCCCCCCCCCCCTCAATGCTACTCGTTCACAACACAGCTCGCCTCTACAGTCTGCTCACGGCTATACCGGGGAGAGGAATATTTGGCTCCAAAGATAATGGCATTGGAGCCCCATCCCGAATTGCCCCCTCCAATGGCAGAGACTCCGCCCTTTGCATGTGGCCACGCCCCCACGCGGCCGGGCATCACCGTGAGCCACGCCCCCTTCAACGCGAACCCCGCCCTCTCACCGTGAGCCCCCGCCCATCCCATCGTTGCTCCGCCCCCCCCCCGCCGCAATCTCCAACTCCTCGTGGCCCCACCCCCGCTCTCCCCCAGCGTGCGTGGAGTCCATCGGAGGAGCGCGACACAGAATTAGCAGCAGCAGCAGAAGACGAAGACGCGGCAGCCATGGGGAACTGTGAAACCGTGGGGCCCAACGAGGCGCTCGTAGTGTCGGGTGAGTTCGCCTCGGCACCGACGCGCGCTGGAACGGTGGCGGCTGTCGGTGGCCGTGGCGTGCGGAGTGAATGGAGGAGGAGAGCTCGGAAATGGCGCGCCCTTTTGTTGCGGCCTGAGGGCTGCGGGGCGTGTTTACGTGCGCGTGTTTGTATGGGTGTACACGCGGTGTGTATGCGTGTGTGTTTACATGGGTGTACACGCGGTGTGTTTACATGGGTGTACACGCGGTGTGTATGCGTGTGTGTTTGCATCGGTGTGCGTGTTTTTGCATGGGTGTACACGCGGGGTGTATGCGTGTGTGTACACGCGGTGTGTACGCGCGTGTGTTTGCATGGGTGCCGCCGCATGCCGAAACAGCTTTTGTTCGGCCGGATCGAGGGGGCTAAGCGGGCGCGGCACGGGCTAGAGAAGAAATGGAGTGACGTGGTACAGGAGGACGTGGAGCTGAGTGGACTTGCCGATGACTGGTACCAGCGGTGTCAAGATCGGCCTCTATGGAGGAGGCTCGTGAAGGACGCTGCTACTGGGCAGTTGGAGGCAGTCGCCCTCCAACAACAACGGAGGGCGGAGGAGCGACGCTCACAACAACGAGCGGAGCGCCGGGTGGCTAAAGCACAGCAGGTTGGCACAGTAGGGGGCACAGGTGGTGCATCAGCCAGTCATCTCAGTCAGTCGACCCGTGGCACCTGGGTCTGCCCCGTGACCTGCCAGCGGGCGTTCGACACTTCACGTGGCCTCAAGGTGCACCTAGCCTGGCACAAGCGTCGTGGTGACGTCACCGCCACTTAGTGGCGAATGGCGGTTGTTGTTGTACACGCGGTGTGTTTGCATGGGTGTACACGCGGTGTGTGAGCGTGTGTTAACATGGGGGTACACATGGTGTGTGCGTGTGTTTACATGGGTGTACACGCGGTGTGTGAGCGTGTGTTTACATGGGGGTACACATGGTGTGTGCGTGTGTTTACATGGGTGTACACGCGATGTGTGAGCGTGTGTTTACATGGGTGTACACATGGTGTGTGCGTGTGTTTACATGGGTGTACACATGGTGTGTGCGTGTGTTTACATGGGTGTACACATGGTGTGAGCGTGTGTCTATTTGGGTGTACACATGGTGTGAGCGTGTGTGTATTTGGGTGTACACGCGGTGTGTGATCGTGTGTTTGCATGGGCGTGCATCGGTGTCCACTGTGTGTATTAGTGTCGGTGGTGTAGGTGGGCGTTGGTGGCCACCCACCCCCTCGTGTGCGCACATGCTGTCCTTCTTAGCTGCTCGTGTAAAACCACTTGCCATAACAGTCTGTTAAGGCAATACAATGTAGGGGGGGTAATCTTAGTTTATTTAGACAGCGTGTGAGTGTTTACATGAGTGCACATAGTGGGAATATGCCTGCATTCGTGTACATGGAGTAGACTACCTCAGTGCATCATTGCACAACATTGGTGCATTTGACGCGTGTGCATAGTTGTGCTGCATGTTTTCACATATAACGTGTGTGTGTGTGTGTTAGATATATAACGTGTGTGTTACATCGGTGTATCGTGTGTGTAGTTGTGTACATTGTCCACGGGGCGTGTGGGCTGTGTGCATTACACAACCTACGATTTCACGCATGAGCCAATCCACGTCACACGTGTGCATAATTATCACACGTGTGCTACAAGTGCAATGGTATATAAACTGGCGATGTTCATGAGAAATTGCACACAATTTAACGGGACCATATTTTTGAAACGTATCGGTCGGATCGGTCAGAATCTTTATTATTAATCAAAAGGAAATGTGGTCTCGAAATTATTTTCAGCGTCTCCCGTGCAACCTGATTAGTCTAGACATGCAAAAGCATTGGCATCAATCGCACAACGAGCAGCCAATTAAATTAGAATGGAAGCAATTGAACGGTGGAGGTGAAAAAATACGAAGCAGATGAGCCCCCAAAAAACAGACGAGCACGTCCAAATTCGTTTGCACGCAATTTTTTCATAGAAAATAAATTAGTTTATTGCAAGAGGCCGATTGAGAGTGAAAAACAAATCTTTTGAGTGGGAGGGGCGGCTTAGGTTCAGCAGTGCATTTGTATACGGCTGGTGAGGCCACGTTCTGTGTTAGAAACTAAATTATTCAAGGTTTTGCAAAGCGGCGGTTTTGATTAGTGAACAATTATCCACAATCTGGTATTGATTCTCGCCGCTGGGCACGTGAATGTTGTGTTGAGCTTACGTTTCGAGGTTTTAAACCCAACGCTCTACAATGTACGCAATCGGATACATTTGGTGGAATATCATTCGTAACCCCTTGGGATAGGCATAAATACAGACACCATCATATGAGACCTCCTTTGCCAGTAGAGACAACGAGTTGTCTCTTTTGTTTGCATTTTGACTGCTAGTGTTGTGGTTATTGCAAACATGATGCCTTGAATAAAGGTGTCAGTTTTTTGTGCCAGTTAAAAGGGTAAAACCTATTGCTATACTAGACACCATCATTGTTACTCGCGATACCCTCAATGAGCGCACGCACATTGACTTATTTACAGGGCCTAGAACGATGCATCGATGAACATAGCCGATTCTTGCGATCCATGTATTCCAATCACCCAAGAATCGATTATTATGCATTTGTTCAGTTTGTATTGCACACATTTTAGTCAACAGATATGCGGATTTTATGTTTATCCTCAAGAGGCGTGGGCACATTGAGACATGAAAAGAATGAGACAATTACACTTTCTGAATTGTAAACCTGTGAAACTAGTTGCATAGGGGATTTATTATATTTTGCAATTTGTCTGCGAGTACATCTTTAATCATGGCATGTATGTTGTCTGGCCCCCTCTTGCATACGCTTCACATAGTCGACAGCACATCTGTGAAAAAGAGCTTTATAGCTCATCGGATTCCTCCAGTATAAATACGTACTTAAAGCTTTCGTGACTGCAATAATTCATATTCTTTGGGTCTTTCGGTAAAGTCACGTAGATAGGTAACCTACATATTCTGATAATTCTGATTCTCTGGCATCTAAGATGTATAGGTACATTTTCCCAGCTGCAATATATGCATCTAATTAATCGTTATATAGTCCATGGGCCAGTGGAAAATTCAGTACCACTGGAGGTGTAAAGATTGAGCGATACCAGTTTGTGCATATGTCTCATGAAAAGCGATTACGTGATAACATAGTTATTTCGTGAGATCATTGCATAATTCACATTTATTGGTGATTTTAAATATGTTGGTACAACTGAAGTGGTTCCATTTCATGGACCAGTAAGAACACATTTCCACAGAAGACCCTTGTTTGATTAGCTGAGATGGAGCTGCGCAAAAGTCATTGTGCTGTGCCTACTTGGTCACTTGGAAGTTTGCACTTGAAATATATCTTAAGCTGTGCAATGTCCCTGTATTGGCACAGTACGAGAGAGTACTGTGTGTTGAAATGCTTTAGTAATTGCCAAAACCCCAACAGATGGGAAATACTTAACTGCACACAATGAGAAACGGTTTCGTATTGCATGTGCATGACTGAGGTTTTTTAGATATAAACCTGCGGCAAGATGTGAAAAAACTGGGTTATATGTGACTCATATAGATTGTTTTTGTAAAAAAAATGCAAATTTGCTGGAAATATTTAAACTCTGGTTAATGTTAAATCAGGAGTCATTTACATTCCACCCTGCCTAATTCTGATTGCCGAGTCCTGGCATAGTTTATTAAAACAGTGGAAATGTGCAGCACTGCTTTCTGCTCGTAACCTCGGTATGAAATCAATCCAAACTTTTAAAACATCACATTTTTGTTGGACATTATAACGAAAACCTTGGCGTCGTAAAACTCGACACTGGCACTCAATCAATAGGCGGTTCCTGATCATCGTCGCCAGGCCGTCGTCGTGTTCACATCGGTTTGGTCGGGTATGCGTCGGCAACACCAGGGTTTCGCTGTTCACCCACCCCCCCACGTTGAACCCGTGGTTGTAAGACTCTCCGTCAGCCCAGCTGCAGGACCCTTGGCCTCAGATCGGTGGTGGCAATGTTTTAACCCAGCAAATAATGCCCGGTATCATCGGGAGTTGCACGTCAGCTGAATTTCCAGCATTCTTGTGAGAAACAATATTTCCATTTTTCGACGATTATTTTTACACGAACAGGAGGGGGAGATGCACTGCTCGGCTGGTATCTATCAGGGAGACTCTGCGCTTGACTTGTGGTTGACTTGAAAAAGATTGCCTTGAATGTAGGGCCAAATGTGCTTTTACTTAGGCGCTTACTTCATGACCGGCTTCACTTGTACGGAACAAAAACTTCGCTCCTTTATCTTCGAGTAATATTCAGCATTCCAGCGCTGTCCTCCAGACAGTCTCGTCCCTTCACCTGATGAAGGCCGCTTGTGTTGTGGCCGAAACGTCGTGAGAATTTTATTGTGTTATTTTATTTTATCAATTTATGATTTTATTCTCATTCTACGTGACTTTACCGAAATAACCAAAGAAGAAAAATCATTCCAATGTTATTTAGTTTTTCGTGCAAACATGAAGTTTTATCTACAGACGATTAATCCATGTTTTTATCTACATCTGTCAGCACAGCCACAACCATGACCCGGTTTATTAAGCAATGGCGTTGCGTGTGTGATTGCAACACGTGTAGAGTGGGCAGGCCCAACAGCAGCCTCTCATGAGTGGGGTGGCTGTTTTTTTTTAGTAGTCTTTGTTCCCGTGCTCTGCTAAACCATGAAGGCAGTTCTAACCCTGAAGATTACCCTCTAAATCTCACGTGCGGAATGTTGTAGGTACGTTCCCATGCCCACAACTTCCTAAGCATATCGAGTAGTCTCGTGTTTTGATGGTCTCTTTTTTTCTTTTATGTGAACCGTTCTTGCTAGTTTGCAGCAGAAATATCCAGTTACATAATCCACACAGGCTGCCCTTGTTGGCTCTCACGAGGTTAAATAAAAATGTACACACCGAGTTAATCATGCTTTAAGAATACGAGCAATCTCCAGCGTCGTGAGCAGCAGCTCTGGTCTCCTGTAAGCAGTTAATTTCTGGGAAAAGAGTATCGTTCAACAAAGAAGCTCAAAACCGATGTCATGAAATTATTTCAAGGACTGGCTTGCTGTGGTTTAGAAGCAAATTCTGAAAGTGCTTTACCGAACGTCTGTTTATAAAAGTGCAGCTCGATTCGACTGGTTGAGACTGCGTTTCCAACCAGCATAAACAAAAAAACACATCAAGCCATATTGTTTATTCCAAAAAGCAGATTAACGATACTTCAACACACTTATGAGGAGCATGCATTTTTTTTAAAAAGGTGCTTTACTGCAATTGCTTAGTGCCTTTCTGAGAGGCCTCTCAGCTGAAATATTCAGTGGCAGTTTCAAGTAGAACTTAATTATTTTGTTGAATGTGTACAGTTGGTAATGGCTTTAAAATGCAATATTAATGCAAGTGTCAAAGCTTGATTCTCTGCAGCTCGCTCGTTCAGTCCTCACAGGCTTAGCATTGTGTCCAGCTTGACAAGAGGGGCGTCACTGCCATCACCTCCTTAGGCCTCGTATTGTGCAGCCTCAGACAACAAAAGGCTCGATAGCGATTCGGCATCCGTCCGCTACTCCTGATGGGATGCGTAATTTCCATATGCGAATGTTGGAGCCGACAGGGAGATAGCAGTGGAAGTATGGCGTGCCCTAGATGCTATTCGGCTATAAATAGCGCGGCATTCATTGCAGTAAATTCCCTGCACAGATCCTTCCTGGGCTGCAGGAAGTGAGGCAGCCATTTTACATGTTTAAAAAAAAAAGATCCATTTACTCCATCAGCAATCATTTGCATTCTTCTTGGCATTCACGGCTTTTAGCCACCGATGCCACTAGAAAGAATATGATGCCCCCCTCCAAGAAAAATGTGACATCCCTTGATTTATTTCATTTATAATATATAAAAAAGGGAAATTTGTGAATATGTGTCTGTTCAAAATGTTTAGCGTACTTCCCGACATGCAACAAACTTGAAATTTGGCATGTGGGTACTTTCCAGACTGTACACCATGCAAAAATTATAAAAATAGACTTGTGGTTTTTGGGGGGGGGGAGGGGGGTGCAATAATGGATATATTTTGCACGGCAAGTGAGCTGTGACGTCACATCTCTGTCATGTCACCCGCATGCAGAAGCGTCACGCAGTGTGCCTGTTGATGTCACGCATCCCCCTCCCCCAACCCTTCGCGAGTAAAGTGCAATACAAATGTGTTGCAGGTCTAAGGCGTTCTTCGCACAGCATTGCTTTATTATTTGAGTAGTTTACTGCCGTACGCACCCTAAAAGTTGTGTGTGTCTGCAGCAAGTGCGTGTATGTGTACCTATGGACGCGCGCGCGCACGTGTGTGTGGGGGGGAGCGGTAGTGCAGTGGTTAGTGCGCTGCGATACGAACCCAGCGACCCGAGTTCGATTCTCGCTCACGGCCACCGCCGGTGACGATTATTTGAATCGGTCCTGGGCCTCCCCTAGGTCGACTCAGCCTCAAACGAGTAACTCGTGTGGTGTGTGAACATCGCCACTGGGGGGACAAAGGCGGCCGGGCGTGGTGAATCCAAGTCCCGGGCTAAGCCGGGTAGTAAAGCTAGTTTATGTATATAGAAATCAAGATTGAAAACTAATTTCTTTAAAACTGCATTTCACGTTTTAGTATGTTGCCCTTTCCCGCTCCTCAGATTAGCACTGTTGGCTACGTACGGTGCGAAATAAGTTCAACATACATACATGTATGTTACATGAACACTTAGGAATTCGGCATTATTACAACATGCCTTGCTCTGCAGTCATTTTCATTAAACGTGTGTGCTGTTATTTTATGTTACTCACATGCCTGTGTACCAGTGGTCAGTGGACACCCTTAGAGATACTTTCACAAGGCCCTGATCATTTGCATTGCAGACGATGTGCCCTCGGTAAACCACTGCAGTGCCCAAAAACAAATATGGTAGCATTTTAATGCCATCCAGGTCATAAGAAGTGGAGCCTTTTAACATGGTTATGCCCGATGCTGTGCCCGAGGTGGGTGGTGCGCTAATGAATGTGTACGTCTATGCTGTGCCCAGGTGGTTGGTGTGGCGCTGATGAGAAGAAGTACGTGACCGGAGGATGGTCATGGGTGTGGTGCTTGGTCTCCCAAGCTCAGAGGTGCGTATCTGTGGCGATTTTTTTACCCATATAGCTCTTGTGCCACTGTCCCCCTGAGCCAGGCATGTCAGCATGCCTGCAATGTGACACGTGGTGTACACAGACCAGTTATGCAACGTAAGAATGTCACGAGTTATCTTTTCCTCGGTTCATGATTCATGCATTGCATTGTGTAACAGTTGAACATATATTTGTCATCCGTCTCCTGAATATATGCAGGTACAAAACCTGATATTTAATCTTGTAAGGATACAAGTCTTTTAATAAACATTATTTTTGGGTGATTTTTTACTTGTTTATTGTAAAGCAAATGTCTAAGTTAATCAGCTGAAGTTATAAAATTAGTTATATGTTTCCCTAAGAAAGGCTCACTGAATCTCAAGATTCTTATAGAGGGCACCCTACTTGATTTTTTGGCCAGTTCCTTTTGAGTATTTTTGTGTCTGATGAAACTGAGAAGTCAGAAACCTTAGCTTTGCTTGATCCACCGACCCTGCCTCCTAAGTTGTGTGGTTTAAATGCCTCCACCACCATACCCAGCAATATTTTTTATATTTTCCCTTGAGTAGTACATACACTGCATTGCATAACAATCCTTACGTAATGATTCCAGTGCTGTTTTTTTTTTACCGTGGCCTCTTTAAACCTGGTGCCTTAACCACCCAATAAAACAGTCCATTGCATCTCCCGTGTGCACTTGTCCTCAAGATTTAGTGGAGTAAAGAGTACGTGCGGGCTTCTTTCACATCAGGCAAGGGGGCTGGCATTTTTAGAACTATTTTTTTTTTGGTCTTTGTTATATCTCAACATGAGCCTAAAATCACAGCGAACAAAAATGTGGGGGAGGGGTGGGAGACGCACACACTCCGCAGACCACGTCTGAGAACTTGGTGCTCCTCCTGTATTTAGAGGAAGGAAAAGAATTGGGCTCGTTGCCCCACTCTCAATGTGAGGACCGCTGAACCATAACAAGGAATTTAGTATGGGATGGGGAAGACAAGGGAAGAGGAACTAACAATCTGAAGTGATTGATGGGAAGAGAGGAGGGGAAGAAAGGGGATAGGGGGGGACTTCTAGAGATACTCTTAATGGCAGGCAATGTTGTAATTGCCATTGCATTTTGGAAAGTAATTCGCCACGCGGACACGCCGACTGCACTTTCAGCAAGAGGCACGCTTCTTGTTGCCTTGCAAGGATGCAAATGCAGCAGATGATGTAGACCATGGTAGAGCAGACTGTGGAAGGTGGTGGGTTTCAAATGCAGAGCAGTAAGGGGCAGCGGCCATTTGCAGAGAAAGCGCGTCATTAAAATCCCAGTAACAAAAAGTCAAGCCGCCTGGTGAGGAATGTGAGGTATTTGTTCATGTGACCAGAGCCAGCCAATCAGAATGCCACACATTTAATCTGGACTTTAAACCAGTGGTTGATTAATTGTTTTTAAACTGAACTTCACCAAATTTCTTATCAAACAAAAGCATAGCACAGGAGGATATGGGTGGGGTGGGATTATTTTCTTTCGAAAACAAATGCAGCAGCCGTTCTCACCGCCATGTGTGCACGTGTTCCTTAGCAGAGTTGTGTTGTTGCGGTTGATATCAGTGTGTACGCCTGTTGACATCTGTGGAGCGATGGCACAGATGTATACTGAGAAATCGACCCAGTATTCTGATTAGATTCCCGGCCACTACGAACATAAGTAGCGAGGGATAATTGAACTGGTCATGACACCCACCCCCCATTAACCTACCTGCAATGACCAACGTGGTGAAGTATGTTTTTTAAATCAAAACAACCTACATCGCTGAAAAATGTGGATTGGCCATCATCCAAAAGTACACTGAATATTATATAGAGCTATTATTCGCAAACAACATCACTTTAGCTTGCATACATTTTTGAATGTTATGATTAACATTGGATTGTTATTTTACCAAGGGTACAAAACCTCGTTTAGCGAGCATCCGTAAAGGCTTGCACTATCACATGATGATGTAATGATGAGGAGCCACAAGCACACAGCCATCTTTGCTTTCTAAGTTTACATTAATGGCGCGTGCACACGCACACACACACGCTGGGCACTCACTCCAGGCTGAATTTCTGTCGGGGGGAGTCCTGGCCAGGCTGGGAGACGTCCTCATCGCGGGCGAGTCATTTGTAGCGCGGTGTGCCAACAGCAACTACGCTCCTCCTCACGTGCACACATTAGCTCGCAGACGTGCACATGGCGGCGCGTACGGCTGCACGTACAGCAGTGTAATGTAGTGCATCCATTGGCCCTATCGGACCCTGGTGCGTCACGCAATGTTCTGGCTCCGCTAGCGAGAGCGCACAGAAAGCGAGGGCTTGTGAATGAGAGGTAGTCGTGAGTTACGTGGCGCAGAACATGGCTGCAAGCGAGGAATGGATGCAATTGTGTTCACAAGCGAGGGGCCTTGCCATGCGCCACTGTCTGGTCTCCGAGCTGTATTCTGGATCCTGTAAGATTTTTTTAAATCAGAAAGTGGCCTTGAAATTGAACAGTCATTTTCACCAGGTCGCATACTCGTGATTGTGTTTTCAGATTATAGGATTTCTCATGGTCCTAAATGGGGATGGATATTTTTAATTGATTGTGTTTTTTACGGGTTCTTGCTAAAATGTTACTCGCAGGTTTTGTGTGCTGCTCGTTGTGTAGAACGCAATGGCCATCTGACCGGCAATGTTTCATTGCAGTACAGGAAGAAACGCACTTCCTAATGAAACAGTAGCTGGCGTGCTTCCCAGTGTTCTGAGGAATTGAATAGTTGAATTGTGGGTAGACTGTACAGGTCTGGCGGTGTACGGCACAGTTCAGGGAACAAAATAAAATTAGAATTGATGTTTGAAATTAGTCTGTAAATGCTAATGTGAATTTCCCATTGCCGATACAGAGTGAAGGGCTGTGGGATGGATGTAATGCATTTAATGTGGAAACAGAACCGTGCTCAGTGGACTGATTAATGCACACTTAGGCTCTCACAGACACGTCAGCTCCCTGCCCATAATTGCGGTTAGTCTCTGGAGTGCCCGTTTACCCCTTCATGACATCATGCCGATGTTAAACTCTCCACAGTACGCTTGCGAAGATGCGCGTATCTGCACTGTACGCTCTATATGGTTGCAGATTGACGCTTTATCGTCAGTTTAGTAAATATGCTCTATGTATGTGCGTTTATGTGTACACTGATGCTGCTTTGTGTGCACAGGGCGTGGTCACTTTTGACAACTGAATATTAACAAAACACAGGCATTGTTTTGCAACTCGTAGTTAAATACACGTTTATACGAATATATTTCATAATGATAAAACCATTTTCCCCACCCCTGCATATAAATATCGATACTCTAATGATACACGTGGAAGTGTCAGTATAACATGCTTATATTTTATTTACAATATATATTTGAAATGAACTTAAAAGCCTGTACACACTCCGCGCATGTGTGGTTCTAGTTTGGAGGCACGTTTCGGCCGTGAAATTTACTAGGATCATCTGAAGAAAAAGATGCTTTCTAATCAGGGCCACACGTCCACATACCTGTCAACCCATACGGTTCGCCCATATTCTTTCACGGGTAAATTGAGTTTTCAGGTCCATACGGTGTACAGCTGTTTCAATACGGGCAAAAACATTTTTTTGTGTTTCTCCCTTGTGATGGGACTTTGTAGGATGAATATTGAGATTTATAAGGGCACGGGGTGACCAATAAGGATTGAATTGGTCTGGAATAAGTAGGGCACTGATATGGTATGTGTCAACAAAACATCAAATCTGACGCCCTCTTAAAATCTGGACATGACTGGCTTACACTGACCAGTCCCCCGACCATACCGGTTCCTCTTTAGCACTTCATGCCTCTCATTGTCTTGACACACGTGTTCTTAGAAAACGGGAATCATTTGGCCAAACCCAGTTGATGCAGTATATGTGGCCATTTTGCAGTTTGTGTTGCATCTGATGGGTTCTATGAAAAAAAATTAAGTAACGTAATTGTGGAGTGTACTCGAGGCATCTTATTATTCATATTTAGGCTGTGGCCTGATATGCATTTTGTGATGGAAAGGATAAATGAATATAAGCATTTTGTATGGATTTGCCTTGCTTGCTTGCAAGGTTTCTTGTCATCGTCATTTGGCATGTACTCCAAAACGTTTAGTGTTTTCCCATTTCCTCCTAAAGCCATCTCCTTTGCACGTGCTCGCCGTCACCGCAGTGCGGGGTCACTTTTCCCGGAAATCCCAAGCGCGGCACAATCTCACGCAACTGCTTCTCGCACGCGAGCAACGATAACATTTTGATCGTATCTACAATGCCAGTCTTCAGAGATGCAAAAATGCGTCACGGACCAAGCTTACGAAAATAACCAAGCGCGGTCCACATTCATTACGGATCCTTGTGAGGGTTTTGGCAGCCCCGTTGGGTTTCACCCCGAAGCTCGGACGCAGCAGCAGATGCGTACCGCGCCACGTAAATTTGTAGAGACCGGCGGCGTCAGATTTCACGGCGAGTGGAAATGTGGCGCGTTGGTTTGGGGTGCCGCATAAAGGATGGGTCAGCGAGCACGTTGAAACGAGGCCCTTTCGTCCCAGCATGTATGCACGACCCCCCCCCCCCTCATCCCTCTTGCCATCATCACCAGGCCGTTTTTTCCAGTTTTGTCCAGTTTCCCCTGTTTCTCCGGGCCAAATTAAGTGTGTGGATGCTTTCTGCTGGGCTACAGCACATAATACCGTTTGGGTTTATAGAAATGGAGGGCCAACTGGGGGTACTCGGGTGGAGAATACAGCTCTCAGTACTGTATTATATTGCACAAGTGAGTTTTATTGATTTGGAAAGGCACCATGTTTGTGCCTTTTGTTATTTCCTTGAGCTCTTTTGCACCTTAAATAATTCATATCCAATGATTTTCACCTTATTGGCTAAAATTTGTATCTATGCTTCGTTCCTTTGAAATATATTGGATTTAGTGATTTAATAAGGTGTGCCAGTTAACCTGTTGTCGAAGTTGTCAAAAGTAACGACGGCAAAAAACGCAGCTTTTAGTGCTCATCTGTGCAGTTTCTGTAAGCGAGTTGGTCAAAATTATCCCGAGTGCCACCAGCCTCCATGGAACAACCACTTATGGTTCCAGATTTGCGTTGCAATCTCAACCACGTAGTGATCGTTTCACTGACGCTGGAGGAATACAAAAAGATGGCCCTGGCCTACATTCGAGCTCCGTTCTCGGGAGCTGTGCCACTCTGCCATCTGCACTATGCCCAGGGCACGGCGGGTGAACGTCGTAGATGTCGTTAAAGATGCGTGGGTTTCATATTCTTGGTTCTTTCGGTAAAGTCACGTAGAACCAAGAATATGAATCCCTGCAGTCACGAAAAGCTTTACATCAAAATGTATGCATGGGTTTATTGTAGCTTTCCTCGCAGTAAATATTAAACGAGGTAGCACCGCTTGCTGCACTTTCATACATAATTGGAGATTGTGAACTTTCTCACGCTCCCATGTCACAGTACAACATTATTTAAAGTTGCATTGTACCATTGTCCCCTTTTGCTTTTTCGCCTGTTTTGAGTGCATTAACCTCTGCTATTTCACATAAGAGTTTGTGTTTGTGTGTGTGCAGTGTCCACTGTGCTTGGCCATTGCTTTCATCAACTGCTCTTACCCCCTTCTATCTTTGACTCGGCCTGAACCAGGAGGGGGGGGGGGGGGGTGAACGGAGTAGTTAAGTGAAACGAAAGCCTTAAAAATAACCCTCCTGTTATATATAAAAATTCATCCTGCCAAAAGTCATTGCTTCAAGGTAAATTCAGTTGTGTAACAGAAATTGTTATGTCATCTGAATGACACACTCCCTTCTCCCTCCTTCTAACATTCCTTGGCGGATGGGTCCATTGCTCCGTTGAATGGGGGGGGGGAGATCAATTGTCAGAACCACTCTTGTCCTCCCCCCTCCTTGTGCACTTGGCGCAGCTCAGTGTCGTCCATTCTCTGCTTGAGGTTTTGTTTGCAAGGAGAGCTCCATTTTGAGTGGGAGAGTCCAACAACAGCAAAAACACGGGGGGGGTGGGGGGTGACAGTACGTTAACCAATGTCCATAATTCATAGAGCTGTAGCAAAAGAACTAACGTCCGTTTAACACGTAGGCTTTCGCGACCAATATTATTCATAATAAAGGTGTTTGGGTTAGATCGCGTTATTGATAAATGTGTCGTAACCCTCCACCACCCGACACGGCCAATCAGCAAAAAAAGTGTCACGTTGACAAAAGACAACACACCAGTGGGCTAAAGTAGTGAACTAATTGCCTTTTGTCAACGTGACACTTTTTTGCTGATTGGCCGTGTCGGGTGGTGGAGGGTTACGACACATTTATAAATAACGCGATCTAACCCAAAAACCTTTATTATGAACAAATAACGTCCGTTGAGGCCATCATAATGGTCTTGTTATGTGCTTGAGTAGGATCCATGACCTAATTAAATGTTTTCTTCATTGCTTTAACCACACTTTTGAGCCTGGCACCTGGGCCCTCGTGCGCCTGCATCATGGCCCAATTTCTTGATTTCGGTTCGCCACCGGCCAACAAGAGAGCAGGAGGGCGAGCCCAAGCCGTGTGCACGAAGATGCGGTTCATACCTTCGGAGAGCATTTTTAAAAATAAAGATATCGAGGTCTGATTAGGTCATATTGGATCATATGGATTAAGATACCCACACCCACCTTCGGTGGTATTGTTCTGTCTGTAGGATAGGTGGCCGTAGAGTAATTAGGTCAATGAGCTGTCTGTGGAGTTCTTCGTATGTATTCGTGACTTTTCTCCGACCATTCTAGTTTTAAGTCAAGGAAGAGACGAGATTTACCCTTTTTAAAATTAATCTCGTGATGTAGCCTTCATAGATAAATCTTCTATATATTGTGTTGTCAGCGCTATAGTTTTAGCATGGTTGGCTACGTATGGTGCGAAAGAAGTTCTACATGCATATATAGTCTTTAGACTGCTGTTGCATCTGTTAGTGTTTTCATTCACTGTTACAGGCCCCCATCCAGCCTGCATAGAGAGCTTGTCATGGAGTCATGACTGATGCATTTGAGCAGGCATCAGCTTTCAGCTATGCTGCTTTTTCTCCGCAGTGAACCATTCGCTCAAATTAGCTCGGACACGGACATTTGGTACTCAGGCTCAACCATTTAGAGTCTCTTGGAGTACCCTGCCCTGTGCACAGGTCGTGAACATAACCCCATGCGTGGTCCACCTAGCCGCCTCGCTTGCTATTGGGCGCTTGCTGCTGTGCCCCCTGCATCTGATGCTCTCTCACTGTCCTTTCTCTCTGCGTCTCATCTTTCGCATGCTGGCTTGGGCAGACTGCCCCTGGAGCTGATGACGCTGAAGCCTCAGTGTGAGCACGTGGAGACGTCCGAGGGGGTGCCGCTGTATGTCACGGGGGTGGCACAGGTACTGAACCCGCTCGGCGGGGGAGGTGGCTGGAGGGGTGGGGGCGGCGGTTGTGCCACAACCGGGCTCGGCCCGCAGAATCTGATCGCCGAATCTCCCTTCCATTTTCGCCCGAGTGTCATCCATTTCACCCGCCCACGCAGGAAGGTGGCAGCACAACCAGATTCCCAAAGCCAGAGCAGTTAGTGTTTAATCATTAATTAATAATTTAAAGTCCTCTGTGGATCCACTGCTGGATGAAAGCCTCCCGATGTCTTCATGGTTATGAAACTTGTTTGACCATACTTCACCATGCTGGCCAATATGGATTAATAAACGTTGGGGGGTGGGGTAGGGGGGAGGTGGATAGTGAGTCATAACCAGTTCACATATCACTCACCACTGATTTTAATTATATTCAGGAATCGAACTGAGATCGATGGATTCACAGTACAGGGCACAGATGGTGATGCTAACTACTATATGCTGTAAAAATATAACTGTGAGAGCTGGATTTCGGAAATACAATTGAACGAATGTTTTAAAATAAGTTGACAAATAGGTAAGAAATTATAATAACAAGTTTGTCATGAAACATATAATTCAAGACACAAAAGTATGACGAGGATCAGCGATGCACCAAAAATTCACCAAATAATTTCACTTTTCCAAAGTATCAGGTGGTCTTTTGAGAGGCTGCATGTGAACTGACATGGAGAGCAGGTAATTCCGGTTATCCCTGCTAGGTATCACTAAAGGCCCAAGCCGCCATTTATCTCCTCTGATTGGCTTGCTAGTGGAAGTGGGTGTCGTCCTTTATTGTTTATCCATAATAGAGGTTTCTGTGGGTTAAATCGCGTAAATATGTGTCGTTAAACCCGCCACCACCCGACACAGCCAATTAGTATGGTTTGTCACGTAAACAGAACATGCCAATTCGTTACTAGTACAGCACACCGGTGTTGGAGAGCAAATCCACAACATTTACAATCTGAGTACAACGTTTCGCTAGTAATTGCAAGTATAGTTTTAATTGTAATTATTTGGGGAAACTTCGTAACTCTTTATCAGAAGCAACCTGGCCACAAATTAAAGGGCAACGAAGTGGCTTATGACGCTGAATTTATGGCAGCCAAATACTCTTAAACTTGTGTTTCTAAATGTGGGGGGGAAAAAACTGGAGGACCCGGAGAAAAATCCACATGACCACGGGGTGAGAACATGCAAACTTCAAATATACAGCACGCGTTGGGGTCGGGATCAAACCCACGACCTCCTGTATACCAGGCGAGGTCGTTAACATCTCGCCAACCCCAAAAGAGCAGCAGAGCTGGCATGAGCTGGTTACACGGTCGCCTTGCTGTGCGCACGGCCGCCAAAAGGCATAGCCACCGTCGGCTTTTGCTCAAGTCGTGTACGTTATTTGCGAAACAGTCAGAGCAACCGTTTGAATAGTTAACATATACATTTTGATTTAAAGCTTTTGTGACTGCAGGGATTAATATTCTTGGTTCTTTCGGTAAAGTCATGTAGGTGCTTATGAAAACCACAGCAAGAAAGTTTTCTTGCTGTGGTTTTCACACCTGATGATGATTGCTTGTGTTGCAGGCGAAACGTCGTGAGAATTTTATTGTTTTATATTTTTCTTATTTTATTGTTTCCCTTATACATGACTATACCGAAAGAACCAAGAATATAGTTAACATATATTAATAGTTAATAGTGCCTATGGGTGTACTTGTATTATGTACCGCATTGTAATGTAAATATCGTTATTGTTGCTTCCCCGTAATTTATATTAAAATTACGGGTTGTTCAACAGAGGACTTGGAAAAACATAGTAACAATTGGTTGTTTTATTATTATTATTACTGAATAACTGTGAGCAGAAATGAGTGAACCAATAACGACCGAAAATGTTGACTTTAAATTACCTAGTTGGGATTACACATAGCAAACATCACATCCAACTATGAAAACCTGGTAAGACCCTCTTGAAAAAGTATAGAGACTGAGTGAGGCTTTTCTGGGTAAACTAGTGTCAATTTAATAACAAGTAACAATCATGGATTATATGACAGACTTTGAACCATTAAAGGTTGTTTCTGTTATAATTGTGTCTCAATTGTTCTTAAACAATATGCACATGGTAATAATACACAATGAAAAACATATATACTTACCACAATAAGGAATACAAAAGTAAAAAACGCAAGGTCGGTAACTCACTCCCTGATCTGGCTGTGCTGTTCACCTCCGTCTGCAAGACTTTTGCATTCTCCCAACAGCCGCCCCCGCCTCTCCTTGAACCTCCCAACCTCCCTCCCAACGTGCCCCATCCCAATAAACCCCGGGCTATTCCCAGCGTCTGTCTCGTGGACTAACCCAGTAACGACTAACCGAGCTCCCCCGTCTCACCCGTCCACAGCAGGGCCACCCATCATGGACCGCGTGAAAGGTAGGTGGTGGTGGTGGTCGGAAGTGCTTCACCCGGAGGCTAACAGTTTTTGCTCCTCAGGATTTCTCTTGAAATCATGACTCTGAATCCACGCTGCGAGGATGTTGAGACGTCGGAGGGAGTGGCTTTGACAGTTACAGGCGTGGCCCAGGTGAGATGGGATGCAGTGTGCGTGCGTGTGTGCGTGCGTGAGCGGTGCCATCATGATTAGCGCTGGCACTGCGCTTCGAAACCAGCGACCCAAGTTCGATTGTCGCTCACGGCTAAGATCGGCGCCGAATGTATGGAGCCGGTTTTGGGCCTCCCCAAGATCAATTTCACCCTTAAATAATAAATACCTGCTGCGGTGTGTAGACATCAGCACTGGGGAGACAAAGGTGACCGGGCGTGGTGCTGGCCACCCACCCCCTCATGTGTTCCTTCATAAGTGTTCTCTCTAATAGTGTTAAGGCTATCTGAGGATCTATATCTTTTCTTTTTGGGCATCGTTTGGCATCATGGGCGCCCATGCCTCTCCTGATTTGTGGGGCTCAAGACTCCACCTTGAGGGGGGGGGGGTGGTTTTAGCTTTCCGGTGATGTGTTCATTGTCGAAATGTCAACTGCACTGTCGATCAAACACCAATTGGGCATAAATCTAAGTAACAAGTAATGTTAAAACATTTAATTTTGCACACTGTGGTCCTTTTTGGAAGTGAGCCACAGCAGTTAAACATACATTTTATATCGTACATTCACTACCCTGTTTTGTGAGTTTATGCCACACATTTAACGTCAAATATTAGGGGTATTACAGGGAAAAAAAACACGGTTTGTTTTAGACTTATCGTGCAGTCTTTGATAGCTAATAGCGTTGCTAGTATTACACATTGTGCAGCACTTACACTGCTGGTGTGTTGTTTTCATTGCGAGGCCATTCATATTGACTCATGGGGAGTCATCCATGTCCTTTGTACCTCGTGCCATATTTGACTACTCAAACATCCTCTCAATTTTCTAAGATAACAGCTGTGGACACCAGCCGATGCTGCACGGGTGATTTAATCCTTTTAGGGAGCCAGCATATTCATGGTTCTCACACTGCACTACAATCCCGGGCCACCCGAGTTTAAATCCTGACCGTGGTGCACAAATAGAAGCAAAGCAAGCAGAACCTGAAGCTTACCTGTGCAGCCAACCTAACAATTACTATAAGCTTTCCGAGGTAGTTTGCTTCTATTTTAAACACCTGGCGTGCTGTTTGTCCATTTGTCCAACTAAATTATAAGAGCCTTTCCGAAGGCCTGAATACAAACACCCTACATACAATAGAGTCAGTAGTATCTGCACACAATGGGGGTGGGGGGAAGAAGAGGACATCAGTGGGGGTGACGGGCGAGGTACGAAGCGTTGAGAAGCCCTCCACGGGAGCTAAAATAAGGCGGCCACAGGTCGCCGAAATTCTAGAAACATAAAAATAGTACCGTCTGTTCTCCTATAACGCGGTAGTTGCGTTCTTGAATAACACCGTGTTATGGAAAAATCGCGTTAGAATATATAATATGGGGTAAAGCACAGGCCATGATAGCACGTGAGATGCGTACACTGGCTGAACAAAGACTGAGGCACGTGGGTAGCATCTAGAAGCATCCAGCAGCATCCCGCCTTGTTCGATGCTACGCCGAGCCAGCCGTTATAACCGCTTATTCCTAGTCGCGTGACATAGCGCTGTTCACTCAGTCGCGTTATATCCAATTCGCATCCACGTTCTCAAAAAGTGTGTTGCCTAATACATTAATCGCGTTATATCCAATTCGCGTTATGAAAACCACACGCGTTATCGGAGAACGGACTGCATCTGAGGCATTGGATAGACAAAGGTGACCACGTATGCATTGTGCTAGGTCACATGACCTACTTGTGTGCCATACCAGCCCTTACCCCGAGCAGAGGGGGTTTGTGTGTGGCTATGCTGGGTGTTTAGTCGCTTGTTCACCCACTCTGTGTGTATGGATTTCACGGCAGGTTGAGTCGGCTCGGCAGCAGGTGTTCATACGGCACGTGGATACAACAGGAGTCCGGCCGAACTCTCCATATTTAGAAGGAACACCACTTTCTCTCACAAACGGGGGGGTGGGCGTGGTGGCTGTGTTGGCCATTGTGAATGCCGCACACCGTCTGCATGAAAACGTGGAGTCAACATTTCCGCTTTGCTCACGAACGTTGGAATAGGTTTAGCGTTTCTCCTGTGGTTAAACATGGTCACGTGAATCTGTGCTCTGTGGAACATTTGCCATTGATTCTGCTGATCCTCGTCACAGATTTGTAACAAAATTCTGTTGCGCACATGTGCAGGTGTGGATGTGGGGAGTTTTAGAATAATACAATTGGTGGAAAGGTTGATGTTAGATTATATTACACCTAGGCCTCACCATGGTTTGCTCATTCTTAAATGAGTACCTAGTGTGGTTTTATAATTCGCAGAACCAGGGAGATGAAGACTGGTGTTGGCCACACAACCCGTTGTGCCATGCTGGCCTTAGTAGGTGCTTGCTTAACTCTACCATCCAGCAGTCTTTATGGGTAAATGGGGAATGTTGGTTGATGTTGATAAATATGAATGATTATATGTGTTTGTGCTTCGACGAGTGGACCTATGCGCGCCCGTGTTTGTGTGTGTGTACACACGTGTATGTGTTTGTGTGTATGCATGGGTATGTGTGTGTGTGTATGCTTGCGTGTGCGTGTTGCTTGTATCCAGGTCAAAGTCATGACAGACAAGGACCTCCTGGCTGTGGCCTGTGAGCAGTTTCTGGGTCGCACGGTGGATGAGATCAAGAGCGTTGTTCTGCAGACCCTGGAGGGCCACCTCCGATCCATCCTCGGTGCGCAGCAGCTGCCTTGCGTCTCCGTGTGTTGCGCGATCTACGCTGTGTGGTCGCATGCAGGATTTTTGGGTTGCAACATCGCAATCCAAAAAGCAAATATCTCTTTTCTTAGAAGCCAAAATATGTCTGAGCATATATATGCCATATGTATGCTGTGTGTCAGGATGGTCCCAGACTTGCTGGATGACTGTCCTCTGGGGGGAGGGGAATCAGCTGACTTGCTCCTGCTTGGATATTCTTCGAGGCTGAGCATCTGAAGGGCGCCGCTGTGGCGAGGTGTTAACTACCTCGCCTGGTTTGCAGGAGGTCGTGGGTTCGATCCTGACCCTGACGCCTGCTGCTGCATATTTGGAGTTTCTATTTTCTCCCCTTGGTCGTGTGGATTTTTCTCCGGGTTCTCCGGTTTTTCCCTTTCACATTTAGAATAATTCCTTTTGAGTATTTGGCGGCTATACATTTCCACGCGATAAGCCATGTCGTTGAGCTTATTTGTTTGTGTCCAGGTCGCTTCTGAAAAAGCGAAATTGCTCGGGTGGGCCTTACCTGGTATTTTCATAGGGTACAAAACCCTACGTTCTGCGTCGTTGGGCGAGTGTTGGCATCGCGTGTCGTGTATTGCGCTGGCGAGCACGAGGTGACGGCGGTGCGTGCTTTCGCAGGAACCCTGACCGTGGAAGCTGTGTACCAGGACCGGGACCAGTTCGCGCAGCTTGTGCGGGAGGTGGCCTCGCCTGACGTGGGCCGCATGGGGATTGAAATCCTCAGCTTCACCATCAAGGTGCATGCGTAGGCGAGGGCACTTTACGGCCATGTGCTTCAGAGCACCGAGCCAGTGCTGCCATGAGCTTGGGTTTAAAAATCCAGGATTATAAGCATCATACATGGATCAAGGTTCGATCCTAATTTGTTCAATTGGCCTGACCACCAGAAATTCCGTATTGCTGCCATTCTGTACATAAAGCTTGCATTTCCCATCTTTTTGCTTATGTTTTTACGTGTATACTTACATGTGCTGTATGTGTTGATGTGATTGAAGTGCTGAGCTACAATAAACGTTATACAACCTATTTAACAGGCCCAACTGCTGATGAGACCCATAAGGTCAACGCGAGTTCAGAGTTTCCTGCTCGTCCCAATAACTCCTGTAAAGCACTACTAAGCCTGGTTTTCAATTGTAATTATGAGTCTCAGTCCATTCAACAATGTGATATTTGTTTTCATTGGACTAATTGGAGGTGAACGGTTATAGGATTAGAACTTATTTCAATGAAGCCTGAGATAAATGCCTCGCAGATTGTGGCCTAATGTTTTCGTATAACCGTGCTCATGTGACATCCCACTCGGACTCTTATGCGAGCGGTCTTCTCATGCCATTTTGTCTCGGTGCTCGGCAGGACGTTTATGACAAGGTGGAATACCTGGCCTCCCTGGGCAAGACGCAGGCGGCGCTGGTGAAACGAGACGCCGAAATTGGTGTGGCCCAGGCCGAGAGAGACGCAGGCATCCGGGTGAGAGCCCTGACTCCCTCCTGGCAAACACGAGCCGCGTCGCATCCGCTCGCTCGACGCTGTCCTGGCCCATTTGTCACACGTACAGAACTGTCCTGTCTCCGTTGTTCCGAAACATGATGCTGCGCAGGTTCATGTTTCTATCTGAGCACAACCGCTGCGACTCCCTTCACCTCCACTCACAGGAGGCCGAGTGCAAGAAGAACATGATGGACGTCAAGTTCAACGCCGACACGAAAATCGCCAACTCCAAGCGAGAATACGAGATGCAGAAAGCCTTTTTCAACCAGGAGAGTCAAACCAAGGTGGGTGGGGAGCGGTGCAGCCCGCCTACATTGGTATGTGATGGTTCACAAAGGCCCTCTCACATCCTTTTCGTGCTTGCCTGTGCGTCCGCTCACTCAGAAAGCCGAGGCGCAGCTGGCGTACGAGCTGCAGGCCGCCAAGGAGCAGCAGAAGATCCGGCAGGAGGAATGCCAGATAGAGGTGGTGCAGCGGCGCAAGCAGATCGACGTGGAGGAGCGCGAGATCCAGCGCACGGAGCGCGAGCTCATCGCCACCGTGCGCTGCCCCGCGCAGGCTGAGGCTTTCCGCGTGCAGCAAATCGCCGAGGGAGACAAGTACGAGTGCCACCGCGCCCGCGGCTGGACCGGGGTCGGAGGGATTCGCACGGTCACCACGCACCGCGATCTCGTTATAGCGAAGGGATTTGCACGGCCAAACCGTGCACTGCGTTCTTGTCGTAGTGGAGGGATTCGCACGGCCAAACCGCCCACCGCGTTCTTGTCGTAGTGGAGGGATTCGCACGGCCAAACCGCCCACCGCGTTCTTATTGTGGTGGAGGGATTCGCACGGCCAAACCACACACCACGTTCAGGTCGTGAGAAATCAAGGTAACGCTTGATCAAGCACGGCGCGTTTTCCCCGCTCTCACCGCCTCTCCCACTTCTTCCCTCTGCCCGTTTCGAACCGAGCAGGATCAAGCGCGTTCTGGCTGCCCAGGCCGACGCTGAGAGGATCAAGAAGATCGGCGATGCAGAGGCGGCCGCCATTGAAGCCATCGGGCGGGCAGAGGCAGAGGAGATGCGGCTGAAGGCCGAGGCCTACAAGCAGTACGGCAAAGCCGCCATCATCTCCATGGTGCTCGATGCCCTGCCCAAGGTAGGCGCCCTGTGGACGGCGTACGCTCACACCACTCTGCCGCGCGTCAATGACAACAAAACGCCTCTCGGGAGCAGCCGACACGTTTACAGGCAGCTGATATTCTGGGCTGGGCCTCTTCTTCGAGGCAGAGCGAGAAATAAACGTGATTGTGGGGAATTTACCATTTGTAGATAAACATGAGCCAGAAACTAGATAGAAAAAGAGCAGACCTTTTGGGATCTTTGGGAAAAGGGCGGGGGGGGGGGGGGCATCTTGGCAGGCAGGTTTGCGACTCCTTGTTTTGCTTTTCTAATTATTTTTCAAGACACACAAGCACGGGCCAGTGCATTTGCATGGGACACATGGCCGCGGTGGAGGGTGGGTCAGGGGCGGGAGGCGCGACTAACGTCAGCGTGGACGCAACAAACCGACCTCGACACTTACGATGCGGGTGATGTCATCGCGCAGATGTGCACGGTGACGTCACCATTGCGTGCCAGCCAGCCAGCAAAACTTAAAAAAATCAACATAGTTTTTCAGAGTACTTTTCCTTATTACTCTAGTTTAAGTAACTTGTGTGTTGGAGGAAAGCGGAGCGCTTAGGGAAAAACACTTGGAAGCCCTCGAACGTACCGCCTGTCAGAAACCCGCTTCCTGCACTGCCTTGTGCAGGCGACAGTGCTTTGTCCCGCAGGCTTGGGCGTCCCACTCTTACTCTTATTATCGTGGCTTTTGCTAGAACCGGAGAGTCACCACTGTTCACTCCTCTGTGTGATCCACTAACCCAACCTGCTAGTCGTCGTGTCAATAAAGGGATGACATCAGAGCGCCCACCACTCCCAGTCACAGGGCCAGGAGAGAGAGCGGCGATCCAGCATTCATCACTGAAGTGGGAGGTGAGGCACGCTCGTCTTGCCTTCGCCCGCCTCGTCGCTGAGAGCATGGGGTGTTTTTAGTCCAGGTCTCTTTAACACGTAGGTCTTCACAGCCAACATTGTCGTCGTTCATTCTGACTTCCTGGGTTCTGTCCTGAAGATGCTTGGCACTGTGTCGGGTGAGGCGTCATATCCGATTGATAAATTTGGTTGTGAGAATCATTCTTCAATCTTCCGGTGAGCTAGAACAAAAATAATCGGCTCGTTAAATGCTTGTACACGTGACAATTGCATTTGTTTGGCTTTATCGAGTGGCGGAGGATTTCACGACGTAGATTTTTTTAAATGAATCAAGTTCTCAAATGGAGAAGTTGATCTCGGCCAACAATTTGCGTGTGTGCAAATGCAGTGCTTGCGTGTGTGCGTGCATGTGTGCATACGTACATACATGCATACGCGAGCGTGTGAAAGCATGTCCAGCACTTGAGTTGTGGTGCGTTTCCGTGTCTACACGTGCGTGATCGCGATGCGTGCCCGCCCGCCCTTGGATTAGATCGCAGCGGAGGTGGCGGCGCCGCTGCAGAAGATCGATGAGATTGTGATCCTGAGCGGAGAGGGAAACCGCACCACGACGGAGGTGACGCGGCTGCTGGCGGAGCTTCCTACCACCGTGCAGGCCCTCACCGGCGTCGACCTCAGCAAGGTAAGGCTGAGTGGCGACCACGTCATGCGACACGTGGTGATATACATTTGGTGATAAAAAGTATATGATACAGCTTACGATGCGATGCAGCATGGTGGCACCACACGTGCCGATATGTTACCACAGCTATTGTGCAGGATGTGATGTAAAACTGTGTGTGACGGCCCGTGTTGATCCTTGTCCTTTGTTTCCTCGTCCTCCTGTCAGTCTCCCCTGATTCAGAAAATGACCGGGGTGCAAGCGTGAGCGTGCACCGTGGGGGGGGGGGCGATCGCCGTCTCGCCTCGCTGGTGCGCCGCCTCCTCGCGCACACTCCATGGGCTCGAGCCTCGCTGCAGGCGCGTCGGCATCCTGGCCATCGTATCGTTGGGATCCTTAAGACGGCCGTGTAACTTAAGTGTACTTGCTAACACCTCACTAGCCTGAAGAAAATAAAAATACTTAATCATCTCACCTGTCACTGTAATCACAGTGTGGAATACGTCTGGGGATTCAATTGTCACTCATTATCAGAATCGCGGCCTCGTGGGCCATGGCGCACGGTTGCAGTGTGGTAGTTTGTAGCGCGGTCTGATTTATGATTTCCATGCCCTGTTTTGTGTTGTCCAGAAACAGCTGCTCCTGGTTTTTGTTGATGATCGGCTTCTGGATCCGAACGCGTAAGGATTTAACTACTTGCGTTCCACCGTACATTCGTAACAAACAGTTGCGATAATAGGCAGGCAATTTCACCTTGTTTAGCAGCCCCGGTACGCATTATCCCCCATGCTCAAACGACGGGGGGAACCCTGTTCTCGCGGCAGCCATTGGCGAGGAGCAGGACACGTTGCTCATGGATCTGGTGCGCGGTGCTGAGGCTCAGGCCCAAGCGTTCGTGGGCCTCCCTGTAACCCTGCCGTAAGCAGGGCCCCCGCCCTAAAGCCGTGCAATTCAACCCTCGGTGCTGTTTTGTTTGATTCTGATGCTGATCGACTTAAAATCCCAGTGTGAACAAATTTTCTTTATCTTGCATGTCATTGGTTCAACCCACGTGACAGCCTACGGACACGATAAAAAAACATCGTTTCATGGTGTGTCCTTTTTTACTTTAGTTTTGGTGAATGTTTTATAGTTTGCAAATATGTACTAGTTCGTCATGACAGTTTCACACCAAATGCGCGTCACAGAGTGTAGCGGTTAGCGCGCTGCGCTATGAACCTGACGACCCGGGTTCGATTCCCGCTCACGGCCAACACCAGTGACAATTATCTGAACCGGTCCCGGGCCTCCCCTAGGTCGACTCAGACTCAAATGAGTACCTGCTGCGGTGCGTAAAACATCGCCACTAGGGAGACAAAGGCGGTCGGGCGTGGTGCTGGCCACCCACCCCCTCGTGTACCGTTCCGGCCTTCATAGGTGCTCGCTAACAGCACTTGCCCCCTACAGTCTGTTGAGGCTATATGGGGGGATCTTTCACTCTCCACTGAGCCATCTACATATCACACCGGGTGTCTTGTCAAGTCGAAAACATTTGCAATGCTGCGCATCGTCGCGCTGCACGCCAACGCTGCTCGGCTCCCGCGGCCACCTCCAGTGTCGCTCCTCCAACACGCCTCCTCCGCTTCTCGAAGTCGCGGCGAGGGCGGCGAGGGGGTTGTCGGGTGGCAGGTGTGGGTGGTCCCCCCGCCTCTTGGGCTTGAGGTTTTCTCGTTTTTTTTTTTCATCGTAATAGTGCGGGGCATTTTATTTAAATTTTATTCATTTAACGATGCGGACAGTTTGAACGTTTTAGCATACAAAACAAACAAACGGGTTATTGTTCATTATTCTAGCACAGGCCCTTCGCTTGTGAAGGTGCGTTCCGTTCTTCTAACGTTCACTGGCAGTATTACATTTGAACAACTCGGGGGGGGGGGGGGGGGGTGGGGCTCCCCCGATGGGCTTGTGGTGGTGTGGGCTGTGCAGCGTTGGGTGTCTGGTGGCTCGCACTGACTAGGACAGAACATGTTTTATGCATTTGTAGTCTTCGCGACTTGGCATTCGTGGATATGAACCTATTGTCTTTTACTACGTTTGTTTTTTTTATTTTCGGGAACGTGAAGTTTATCCGAAGTTACGTCACACTTCTGATTGGTACTTTTCGTATGCAATTGTCTACGTTATCTTCAATTGTGTTCATCATTTGCGGCGAGATGGCAAGAAAAACCGCCACGTGGGGTCACGGCCAGCCCTTTGCGTCACTTGCATCACATGGATCCATTGAGAACGCAAAATGCAGCCTGTTAACCCTGCATTGTAAGACTGGATTTTTGCATTTCCCATTTACGCTTGTAACATACACAATCGGTGGCCTTTAACAGAGTTCTGAATGCAGTCGCAAACGTGATGGCGATCGCCTCTGGTTCCACGCAGGGGACCTCCTTATGCTGTTACAACAGGAAACCCCATCCTCATGGACTGCGCTTGGCATCTATGGATGCACCTGACATTCTTTGTGTGTAGTTGATTCTATCGTTATATATAAAAAAAAATCCTGGGAATTTTTTTTTTGGGTTCGTCATTACGATATTGCGAGTAACAATACGCAGAAAAACTGCAACGGCCGAGAAATAATATGCAGGATATTAGAAACGTAATGTGATTTTTGTTGTTTATCTACCGAAAAAAAATGTCTCTGGAAATGGGGGCCCTGCAGTGTGAGGCGTTCACTGAAGAAAATTGATCGTTGACGCAAGGAAAATCTCCTGCGATTAATATTTGCGGTGTTATTTCAACCCAAAGTAAAACTGATGTCAAATTATAATAAATCACTGTCATTGTAATAGTCGAAGCTTTACTTAAAAAAACAACTGTATAAAAGCTCCCCAGAAATGTTTTTTCCCCAGGAATATTTTTTCGTGGATATTGTTAAGTGTTAGAATTCCGCGCCATTAATTAATCGGTTTCTTATTTGCATGATGCGCGTGTTTGTCAATTTTTTCTACAACAGTGACCTGCCAAGGCACACGGTGAGGGCGTTAACCTCGCTCAGTCGGTGACCTTTTAACCTTGAGAGTCCAATGAAACCAAAGCCCCTTTGCAACAGAGGCCTCGTAAACCTACAAGGAGAGAACTCTATGAAAAACAAATGCTCCATTTTTGTTGTGTGCATGTATAAGATTACTGATGTGACACATCTACATTACAGCTTGACCGCACATGTAAACTGTCATGCATTTGTAATTAACTTTAATATAAAGGAGGCTTCAGTGGGCGTGGAGAGTGATAAAACATCTCCCATGACATCTTGCTATGCCCCCTTACATCGATGACGCTACACCACACGGCACTGTCTCCTCACCCACGTGGTGTAGCAGACAGCACAGTCTCCTCACCCACGTGGTGAAGCAGACCACCGTCTCTTCACCCACGTGGTGCAGCAGACGGCACCGTCTTCCTCACCCACGTGGTGCAGCAGATGGCACCGTCTCCTCACCCACATCACGAGCCCCTCTAGTGCCTTGTGATAGTTGCACCGAAAGGCCGTAAATACTCGAACTTAACTTTTTATTTTACCAGGTAAGGCCCACTGAGCTATACAGTCTCGCTCTTTATTTTTAGTAGCGACCTGGCCACAAATGATAGCTCGACGTCGTGACTTATGTGGACATTTATAACAGCTAAATACTCGAAATGCGTGATGTTGATTCTAAATGTAGTGGGGGAAACCGAAGAACCCGGAGAAAAATCCATGCAGCCGACGGACCCTCTTGTCCATCAATGGCTTTCTAAACGCCCATGTGTTGGCAGCTGCATGCGTTATATTATGAAGGTAAAATGTGCGGTAATACCCATATATCAAGTAATGAATAAACCATACTAAGTTGATGTGAAACGTGCTAACCTATCTGCGTGTCCCGTCAACAGCTTTGGTTGCTATGCACGTAGCGTTGACGAAGCTTTATTGTGTCTTGGGTAACCCTTGAGAGCAGTGGTTCCCAACGGTCGCGGACCCGTGGACTACCAATGTCATCCATCCTTGGGTTGAAGCTTCGTGAATGCGAAAATACAATTTATGGCCATGTATGCCATTATAGCGCTTGCAATGGCGTCACTGTGATGCCGTTACATTTCTACGCAAGTGCAGTGGCGTCGCTACGGGAGCTGTGAGTGAGCGTCCGACACGGCTACTTTAAAGTCTGTCCAGCATAAGCTGTAAAACGAAGAGCCTCAGTCTGATGTGGGACAGCCAGGAAACGGAGCCTCGGCCGGTATCAACCGGACAGCTATTTCTTTGTCCGGGTTGCGACTTTTTTTAAGTCCATGCAGTGTCGGAAGTGTGGAGGGGGGTGTCATTGCAGAAGCCACCACCGATGGGTTTGGCAGTGACGGGTGCTGCTGCTGCAGGGTTCGTAAATGGTGGGTGATGTCCGAGCCACCGGTTCAGAGTGCGCCAAACGGGGACGGCCTTTCAATCGCCATTGCGGTGGCTTTTGTTTTCCTTGCCCCGTGATGCCGCGTTTCACCTTGCGAGCCGACGGGACCTCTTTTTATGCTTCTTGTAAAAATCGTCAAGCTTGACCTTTTTCCAAGAAAGATTCGCTGTGCATGCAGACCTTTGTCAGGCAGTTCCCACTTTTTTTTATCAAGGCATTTTGTATGTGGGAGGACACCAAAGTGGTTGAGAAACCCGACACGGGAGAGGGGGAACACAAACAGACCCCATAGGTATGTTTGTGTTATCTCGCAGCCCAGCAGGTTATGGGTTTGACAGACGGTCTCCGCGTGAACTACCTACCCCGGTACCCAACTATTGGGTCAGAATAATCCAATCTAGGCACAGTTGCATTTTCCTTTGAAGGAATTTGATATTAAACCAATGTATACAATATATAGCTTTTAAATGTAAAGTTAGCATATGTATCAGTAGACGTTCAGTGTCTGGTAGCTGAGAGTGCTGTTGCGTGTATACGACTGCAACGCAGAGAAGGGTGGTCGGAAGGATTTGAGAACGAGACGCGGGACTCCCGGCCATGTGGTTTTGGAGTCGTGCCACGGAGCGGGCACCGATAACATCCTGGGTTAGGATGTGGCCCGTGTTTTCTTAAATCGGGTTTTCAAGTGCAGCGAGTTAGTGGTATCATCCTTCTCGTCAACGACAGCACAAAAAGCCATCAATTTTTTTACGATGCCAAAATTCCAACTGAAAGTTATTGATTTGACTCGACGTGTAACGACCCTTTGCAGCAGTGTATGAGAAGGTGTGCACCCCAGAGTGCGTCACAAGGCCACTGGAAGGGATCTCAGAAGTAGTTTTGTGATGTCTGCTTCTTTGGTTGATGCACTGCTCTGCAAGTTTCGAATCTGAACCGTCCCATGGCACGTTGACGATTAGCACAATTAGCACGATTGGGAAAATATTTCTTTAAAAGATAGTCATGCACAAACTTAAAGACGAGGCGTATTTTGAATGCGCTGCTTGTCAGTGTGCTGAAGACGTAACGAGAGATGTGGACTCAATGAAATAGGCAGGTGTCTGCTTTTCGCATCTCTGTCAAGTTCTCAAATGGCTTTCGAGAACCCTTCGTAGGTGATTAGTTATTTGGTGTAATGAATGTGTGGGGAGCGGGTAGCTACGCTGCACTACGAATCCGGCGGCCCGAGTTCGATTACCGCGCACGGCCAACACCGGTGACGATCATCTTAACCGGTACTGGGCCTCCCCTAGGTTGACGCTGTCTCAAACATGTACCTGGTGTGGTGTGTAAACATCACCGCTGGGGAGACAAAGGCGACCGAGCGTGATGTTGGCCACCCACCCCCTCGTGTGCCGTGCCGGCATTCATAGGTGCTCGCTAACGGGGCTTGCCCCAACAGTCCGTTCAGGCTATACGGTGGTGTGAGGCTCGGGGGGGGGGGGGAGTCTTTGTTGTCATTGGCGTAATGTGTGCACGTTTCTATACTACGTAAAAGCTCGGTTTTTTTCGTCGGGAGCTGAAATCATTTTTCGCAATCACAGTACACTATCCGTTCGTACGATGATTAACACTTTTGAGATTCCCCGTGCTCACTTTGTGATTTCTCGAGCCTCTCGTCTTCGGTAGATGCAGGGGGGTTGGCCACTGATGGTGATATCAAGTGTGAGCAACTTCCTAGCGATAGAAGATCGATTCTGCCCCTGTGCTCTGTAGGGTTTTTTATTCTAGGTATTGGTCGCCCGAAAATGCTCGCCGCACATGCAGAGCTGATAATATAGCGATCCGCCTGAATAGACGAGACAGAGGACTGGGTCACCAACTCCCGCATAAACACGGGAGTCAGATATTTTTAAAAAAATCCCATGCCGAGTGCGCTCCAGAAATTTCAAGTAAAAAAAATAAGGCCCTACATTAGTACTACTACGAATCTAAACACATCTTAATCCATTTAATCTGAAAAAAAACAAATATAAAATACTTCTTCAGGGTGTCACTTGCGGATGCTTGCCTACTATCAAACAACATGCATTCCCATCATTGCTGCCCACTCACAGATATTCCACCGCATTTGCGTCGGAGTCGCGTGCAGTTGGAATCGCCGAGTGACCATGGACACCTTGTGAACATCCTGCAGGTACAGCATTCGCGTGCCAGACTCCGCAGCGATATCAAGTCGAACTCCTTGCCGATTGGTTTGGTCGACGACGAACTGCTGCTCTCTTCTCTCGTACATCGCACAAGCCGGGCTTTATTGTCCAAATGTTCCACTTACACGACTGCCAGTCCACAGCCAGACCTTCCGCTACCCTCGGAAAGCCAGACGCTGCAAGGGTTTTCTCAAATATCAATGTGCCGCGGCGTCCGTTAAAGCCATATTCGGTCTCTTTTATAGCATCTCTCTATCGCACGCTGATGCCACAAAGGGTCGTGCCCGGTGTGGCTCATTGTTCATGCATTGTGAAGTAGAATGTGCGTTTAGAGTTGGGTGTGGTTGATTAATAGTTATTAGTGTGTTCGGGTTTTTTTTTTTAAATCGACGTTTCGTGCCCTCAATGGTGATAATCATAGGCCAATACAAGTCAGGAATAGCTGGTTATTGAACCCCATCGTGGAGGAATTATCTCGATAAACAAGGCGAATCGCTCTCCCCACATTGACCAGAATCCCCATCGGCTGCCACAGGGTGCGTGACTCACGCTTGGCATCGTGAGCTCGGCCACTGCGCTGTGCACGCCGTGTCCGAGCCTCGAGGACGAGCCTGGTGCGCCTTTCGTTGGGGTAAACGCGGTTTACACCGAGTGCTATTTCCTACATGTCCCAAAAAAAAACAACCCTTGGGCAGGATGGCGGCGTGGCTACTCCTGCTAATCCCGAATAACGAGAGTGCCGAGCCCATCCAAAGTACGTTCAACGGGTGGGTGGTTGCTGCTTGCGCCCGTGATGCCGTTGCCACCTTGCTGAATTCGAATGCTTTGAGGTGTCTGTTCTTTGTGATTATAGGGGGGGGGAGGGGGGTCACGGTGAAGCCACCTCTAAGTCAGCCCAATTACCTTAAAGGTCATGAGTCACACAAGTTAATTTTTTGGGGAGCTATCGTTGCTAACAAACCGTCACTGGCAACGCATAAACCACGAGTGACGAGAGTTATTTCTCGCCAACGACAGCAGTGGTATTAATTGGCTGGCATGGATCAGAGGCCCATTAAAGCCATCGTGGCCCATCACGCCAAACCGTGACAACCACAGCACGCCGCCACACCATCGCACCACATCGTCACCTCCAGATCCATGCAAAAAGCCACCAATTTGGCAAATGAAGAGCGCTGAGATGTTGGATGGTCACGTGATCTCTGACTGCTTTTGACCGGAGGTCGCCGTCCCCGTTTGGACGCCGGGGGGAGGGGGGGGGGCTGGCATTGCATGTGGTCAGGCATTGGGCAACGACGTAGTTCTGACATTGCAGTCGTGGACCATGGCACCTACTGCGATCCCATCTTCCGCGAGCATCCACTTCGTTGTTCTACTAAACACAGAGCCATTGTGCAAGGTGGTCCAGATGCCTTGTGCCCCCCCCCCCCTTTTCATTTTCCGCCCTTTGCATATTGGAAATACATCTTTAAAACATGAAGTTTTAAGAGCATTAAATGGGGTTCACGAGGTATCTGGACCACTCTTTACACGATGGCTCTAAGTCACACCCGCGAAATACTGATGGAGTTAAACTTCTGGTCACACATCTGCGTTTGTCTCTGTGCCCTTAATAGTGACGGCTCGGGGTACAAATCACTTGGTCAAAGGAGCCACGGCAGGGGGGTTGTAAGAAGAACATTCTTGTATCTCGGATGGGCGGTCACGTTTCTTGGCAGAAAAAATTCCACAACTCTCAATTTTCAAGTGAGAGAAACTCTCAACCCACGGGGTGAATGGGCATTTTACTCAATGCTGGCACTCCCTCAAAAGGACGAAACGACGATACAATTGTTCCTGGATGCCGAGTAGATGTGCTTCTGGATAGTTTGCTGCATGCATTCGACTGCTGATCACCTAATGTCCCTGTGATGTGTGTGCTCGCTTCATCTCGCTGCCTGCGTGTGGTCTCTGGATGCGCTCCCCGCTCCGTGTGCTTGTAATGCTCCGGGCGTTTCTAACAGATTCCATGTCAGCTGTTACAACTCTACACTGTGCACACCTTTTCAGTTTACAGTTGTACATGGTTTTCATGAGTTTGACTTTACATCCTTGATTATACACTAAATCGTACTCTAATAAAAGTGAATTTACAAACAAAATTAAAACATGTCCCCAGATAAACTGGTCTCTGTGATTGTTTATGTGCCTCTTATCTTTCGATGTACTGCAGGAAAACCGATATTTCTCTCTGTGAAATTGCCATCTGTGGTCTCCCTGTCCACCCTCTGCCCA